AGGTATCGAGGACGATGCCTTTCACATGCTCGTTGCGAAAAACCCGCAAACCGTCGCCCAGCTTATTCAGCACTGTCAGAGTTTCGACGGGCTGCGGAGAGAGCGGATTTCTACTCGACGTTCAAACCTCGACACGACCTCTACATCTGGGTTAACCATTGGCGCCGTTTCCTCCGAACCAAGCACGTTAATGCAGCAAATCCAGCAGTTTGTCCGAGAAGAACTTTCGCGCCAATTGTCTCTTGTGTCATACGTCCCGACCAGTGAGCACATGCTGACCCCAACGCTCCGCAAGGCAATCGAAGAGCAAGTTTCTGATGCCCTGTCTCCCACATGCAATCCTCTGCCTATCTCCGCCCCTCTCACTTACGCTGAGGCCGCCAGACGATCGCCGCCGTCACTACCAACCGTCACGGATCTTGCTAGACAGCCCCGTCCCCTCTACGCAGCAAGTCCTCCTACCCGTCGCCACCCACCTCCTGTTCGCCACCCCACACCACCATCAACAAACCCTTGGCGCCCTCCAGACAATAGGCCAATTTGCTATTTCTGCCAGCTTCCTGGTCATGTAGCACGCTATTGCCATCGCCGGGATTACAACCCAACTGCTGGTGAGACGACTTACGACTCCTATCGTTCAGAGCCACCACAGCCGTCTTCGTTCCAACCCACGTCGTATCAGTCGCCGCCACGTCGCCGCTGCTTCGACAGGAATCGGTCGCCCTCACCACGGCGCCGCTCTATTTCTCCGATGCTTCCTCGATCACCACCCTCCCAAACGGAAAACTGACAATCGCAGTTCCCGAGGCAAGAGCTGCGCATATATCGAAACCTTCAAGGCCTCCGTTTTTACCTGCTAATGAAATAACTGTGCATATTGATCGCGTACCTGCGAAAGCGCTCGTTGATACTGGTGCTGCCGTGCCTGTGTTAAGTGGTGAATTGTGCCGCAAGTTGAAGAAGCTTACGCTGCCGCTTACCCATGTCTCTCTCCGCACGGCCACTGCGCATCACATCCAACCTTCTGCGGCGTGCACAGCTCGACTGGTCATCAAAAATATTTTTGTATGTAGTCAAATTCGTTGTTTTCCCCATGTTCACACGATATCATTTTAGGCTGGGACTTCCTCTGCGCTCATCATGCCGTCGTTCACTGTGCACGTGCCGAACTAGAGTTTTCGACGATGTGTGAACTGCCCCTGTATGAAGCGCCGACGTCTGAAGGACCTTCTTTCAAGCCGCTATTTTCCCGAGTCACCGTAGCCGCGGACACTCGCATCCCTCCTCTATCCTGTGTTCATGTACCACTCTTCTGCGACGACGCACCCTCTGTCACCACCCTCTTTATCCCCTATGAATGAAACCAGGTCCCTATGAATGAAACCGACCGCTCCAAGACTGCGTTTGTAACGCCTGACGGATTGTACAAGTTTAACGTCATGCCATTCGGCCTCTGTAATGCGCCTGCCACCTTCGAGCGTCTCATGGACAACATCCTTAAAGGCTTTAAATGGAACACATGCCTGTGCTATTTGGATGACGTCGTTTTTTCGAAGGACTTCAACTCCCTGAGCGTCCTGACTTGTCTTTCGAATGGTGGACTGCAGCTGAATTTGAAGAAATGCCACTTCGCTGCCCGCCAGCTTATCATCTTAGGGCATGTTGTTAGCAAGCATGGTGTCCGTCCTGATCCACCCAAGCTTCGCGCTGTCGCCGACTTTCCCAGGCCGGCTACACTAAAAGAACTCCGCAGCTTCATTGGGCTCTGCTCATATTTTTGCCGTTTTGTGCGCAATTTCGCCGCCATAATCGCACCCCTGACGCAGTTACATGCCGACAACCAAGACCTCTCGGCGTGGTCCCCAGCATGCGACGAAGCATTCGCGTCATTACGCCATCTTCTGACATGGCCACCTATTCTACGCCACTTTGATCCAGACGCTCCAACCGAAATTCATATGGACGCTACTGGAGTTGGCCGCTGCGCTATTCTCGCTCAGCGTAAATCTGGCTTCGATGAGTATGTCGTGTCCTACGCTAGTCGCACCCTCACTAAAGCAGAAAAGAACTATTCAATCACCGAGAAAGAATTCCTTGCCATTGTTTGGGCAATCGCAAAATTCTGACCTTACGTATATGGCCGCCCATTTGACGCCGTGACTGATCACCACGCATTGTGTTGGTTGTCGTCATTAAAAGACCCATCTGGTCGGCTAGCTCGCTGGGCACTACGTCTCCAAGATTATGATATTCGTGTAATTTATCAGTCAGGCCGCAAGCATTCGGACGCCAACGCTCTTTCTCGCTCGCCACTTCCCCACGATTATGCTGCAGCGTCTGTTTCCAGCTGCGAATGTTCTTCACTTGAACAGGCCGACATGTCCGCTGAGCAACGCCAGGATCCATGGATAGCGTCTTTCTTAGAGTACCTGTCTCAAACGTCTCCACGTACCGACAACCGTTTACTTCGACGAACTGCTCGCCATTTTACCATCCGTGACTGTCTTCTGTACCGGCGAAACTACCTATCTGATGGTCGCAAATGGTTGCTGGTAATACCTCGCCACCTACGTTCTGACGTCTGTGCCTCCTTCCACGCGGATCCGCAATGCGCCCACGCAGGTGTAGTGAAGACGTATGCTCGCCTACGAATTCGATATTACTGGTGCGGAATGTACTGCTTTGTTAGGCAGTACGTCCGTTCATGTTCCTTGTGCCAACGCCGGAAGAGCTCCCCTCGCACATCTACAGGGCCACTCCAGCCACTGCCTTGTCCTTCTCGGCCTTTCAGCCGCATCGGAATCGACTTGTATGGTCCCCTACCATACACACCAAATGGAAACCGCTGGGTCATCGTAGCCGTGGACCACCTTACGCGCTACGCCGAAACTTCGGCGCTTCCCGAGGCCACTGCGCGTGAAGTTGGCCTGTTCATTCTGCACAACCTTGTCCTTAGGCATGGTGCACCCCGCGAGCTTCTCAGTGACCGTGGGCGTTCTTTCTTGTCGAAAGCTGTAGAAGCCCTCCTACGCAAATGCAACATCGTGCACCGAACAACGACCGCATACCACCCCCAAACCAATGAAATGACCGAGCGATTCAATCGCATGCTGGGTGACATGCTCTCCATGTATGTTTCTGACGACCATACGAACTGGGACCGCATACTGCCATTCGTTACTTGCGCTTACAATAGCGCAATTCAATCGACAACTGGATTCTCCCCATTCTTTCTTCTTTATGGTCGGGAACCTTCATCGTTTTTGGACACTATCCTTCTGTACCGCCCAGACCCTTCAGGATCAACAACTTTGGCCGAAGCTGCCTCATATGCCGAAGAATGCTGGCAGCTAGCACGCTCGCTAACAACGCACGATCAGGCGTGCCAGGAAGCACTCACATGACCGACGCTCATCCCCTTCGTCATACGCGCCTGGGGCAATCGTGTGGCTCCGCATGCCAACGTCTGCCCCAGGCCTTTGCTCAAAGTTCATACCTAACTATGACGGTCCATACCGGATCCTGCGCCAGACTTCACCAGTCAACTACATAGTTGAACCTATTCAGCCACCTACAGATCAACGGCGCCGCGGGCGCGAGACTGTGCATGTCGAGCGCCTAAAACCTCACTACGACCCACCAGTCCTGTCTGTGCCATAGGTCGCCAGGATGGCTTCTTTCGCACTGGGGAGTCAATGTAGTGACAAATACGGGCTCTAAGAACGACGAAGATGTTTGTTGTGGCGGAGACTCGTGCTGCTGCAGCTGCTGCTGAAACCGCTGGTTGCTGTCTCGGTGCTGTTAGGCCCAATAAACGGTTGCTCTACCCCGGCGTGCGTCTAGCAGTATTCGTACAATACAAACATCATCTCCTGCACTTTGCTTGACTTCATTTTGTGTTGCTTCTCATTTCGAAATGTTAAAGCACATAAAAGCTTTAGAAAGGAATAAGACAACTAATTTGGAAGTCGGTGCTCTTTGCCTCAGCTGTCTTGTTCCTCTCCAAACTTTTTTATGTGTTGTTAAGATTCCAAATGAATATACATGAACTTGCCCAAGTGTCAACCCCTTTAAGGTTCTTTTTGAATTCGCATGAAGGTGCATTTTAGCGGAATCTGTCTAGGAAAAATGGTTAGTGTTGGAAAGGCGCAAGAGGATCACTTATGCTTTATATGGGATATATGGGGCTTATCATGTGCCCTTTTCTTTATTTGATAGACTCGGATCAATATTTTGCCTGGTGCTCTGTTTTCAAGAAGGGCTGCCTCGGATGCAGCTTAGTTATATGCTGCACGGCAATAAAAAAAAAAAGAGTGAAATAGCTATTATCTTGTGCAGAACTCCAAAAGAAACAACGGGTATGCTTTGACCGCAAATAACACACACACACACACGCACACGCACACACGCACGCACACACACACACACACACAAAGTAAAGGAACACTCAACGACAAGCACAAGGGGCACTTCCAGCTAAAGTAGACCGGGCGCAAATCCAGACTTGAGTAACAACACACAGACATGCGCAGTCTTCACGCAGCCTTACGTTATCCAGCTATCAAACAATCTCTTCTCCGATACGTACGTCACCAACGGTCCGCTGATACACCTTTCTTTTTAATGTAATGGGCTTCCATCAACTCACGTGCAGTTTTATGCCTACTTCTACTTAGAATCTTAAACTCGTTAAGACGTGGTATACACCCGCAGGCTTTACAATGCCTCGGCGAATTTGGCAAGCCATCTTTCATTTAATTCATGCTCCCTAACCCGTTCATTAATACAGTGCCTGGTAGTCCCGATGTAAGAGTTGCCACAAGAAAAGCATGTCGGTAAGCAAGTACCAACTAGGCCAACAATCAGTATTGTTAAAAAACAACGGTTAAGCGCTGAACACTGCACGCAAAGCTAAAGGGATCTGATGGTGTACAAGTGCCGCTTTCCACGAAGATATTTCGCACATTCACAGCTCACTTCGCTTGTCTGTGGGCACGTAGGCTTCTTCATTCAGGGTTTCCCGAAGCTTCGCCGCTTCCAGGAGCACCACGACCGGGTGCTGGGCCGTCTGCTACCCAAGCTGAAGCGCCACCTGGACCGCTACGAGATGCACACCTCGCTGTACACACTGAAGTGGTTCTTCCAGTGCTTCCTGGACCGGGTGCCCTTCACGCTGACCCTGCGCCTCTGGGATGCCTACATCCTGGATGGGGAGCCTGTGCTGACTGCCATGTCGTACACCCTGCTGCGCCTGCATCGCAAGACCCTTCTGCGCATGGGCATGGAGGAAATGATCGACTTTCTCCAGGCAGGTCTATCTAGTCTGTTTGTCTATTCATTCATCTATCAGTGTCCTCAAGGCCAGAGGGGAGTGGTTGTGTACAATGTAAAATAGGGGAAAAAAATTATGCCATCTTCTGCTGAAGGCAAAGGTTTTGATGTGAAGCAGCGGGTGCTAACGCTTGCACTGGCAGCGACTTTGACGCTGGCGCACATGACGGCATTACACAGGAGGGAAACTTGGGGAGGCACAGAGCACACAGTTATGGACTGGTGTTTGCTACTGGAACATGTCAATGGCTGCTAATAGGCAATGAGAGGCAGACGACTCTATTAGTGAATGTAGGAACAGCGCTACCTAGAAGTAGTTACTTCGTAACTATGGAAGCAAAAAAACGAGGACAGAAAAGAGCACTGACTTTCAACAAAGATTTAATATCAGAGTGGTGTACATATATAGGCGAAAAAAGGAGAAAATTGGGCATGCATAGAAGGGTGCAGGAACAATCACTGCGATACAATGTCGACAAAACTCTTGTCTCTTGTTGAATGAGCTGTAATACACATGTAGCTTAAAAAAGATCGAGATACGCAATCTCTTTGTGCAACAACGCAACCGATGGGCAACTTACACATTTACCGTCAAATTTATTTATTTGATAAGCTTCAATTATCTCACGCGTGGCCTGCGAGTTGTGCTTGCTTAATACCTCTCAATGCTCAAAAACTGGCACGCAGCCGCATTCTCTGCAGTGGATTCCGAGGCGTCCTTGAACTAAATTGTGCTCTCTTAAACGGTCATTTAGGCACCTTCCTAGAAGCAACTACTTATAGGTTGCGCTGTTCCTACATTCAGTTATGTCCTACCAACTTGCCCAAGTTTCTATGCTTCAAGACTCCATTAGGACACAGGCGCGCAGTCCACTTTTAGTTAACGCTAATGCGCACGCTGTGAATTTCTATTGTTCGATAATGCACAGAAGAAATATCCTACCAGCACTACAATGGGGGTCAAGATCCAGTGCCTATCTATACGGGGTGGCCATTGAACGGTTGTGCAGCGTGAGTAGTTCTTTATTATTATTATTTTTTTCAATCAAGAAACTCACTAGCAGACACCGTGGGAAGGTATGCCTAAAGAACAGAGAGGGGAAGCATAGCAGAGCAAAGAAATTGCGCATGTATAGTGCGAGTGCGGACGCTGACGTCGCTGGACGTAGACCCGAGCAAGAGATGCTTTGCATCTAAAGTGTACAAAACATAAGTGTTATGTTCCTAGCTTATACAATTTTGTATGGTGTATTAACTTCATTTTAGAGGCAAAGCTCCTCTTAGTCTAACCTTGTCCTCCGTCAGGCCTAACCGGCGATGCTTCTTGGTTGGACCAATTGCATAAAGCAGCGAAGGTGCCGCTCTGAGAAAGATAAAACTATCGCTAAATAGTGTTTTCTGTCTTCTGTGCCCCTGTCTAAACATTTGTGCCATCAAGTTGAGAAAAGTATAGAGTATTTTTCAGTTAAGGTAAAGGTGCACAAATGTGGCCCACTCGTATGAGGCGAGCTGCCCTGATTCGGCTGAATTATATTTGCTGGCATGTAACAAACAGCGTGGCTAATGTTGTACATTTTCACAATTTCTTGGCCTTTGTGGCCGAGCAGCACAAAGCAGAACGAAGAGCATACGGGACACGCCACTTCTGCTCGCTGTCCCATTTGCTTCATTTCCAGCCAGAAGGTTCATCAACTACCTAAGAAAGCCTTGCATTTCTACTTGGACTCATGCAGTGTCACCATCTCGATTTGCTTGCACTTAACTATTGGTGGACATTGGTGGACTCGGTGGAGTCTCGTTTCATTTTCTTGCTCTAGTTTTGTTGCTTTATGGTTTTTCGCAGTATGTGTAGAGAAGGAGGGGAACAGGCACACCATTTGTGTGCCAAACTTAATCACCTGCGCTGAACTACCCTTGTTGTGCCGAACTTGTTTATCAGCGCTGTGCTGTGCCGCAGTGCCCAAATTTATCTGGAAGAGGCAAAAATCAAGTTTTGAGCCCAATAGTTATGGCTGAAACATGTTTTCGGTTTTATCAAAACTGTTCCTTCACCCAGGCTGTGATCAGCTATGGAGCTTGGCTCAGCAGGCGCCATGAAATAAACAAAAACTAGGAAGTGGCATTGCTCTGCAAATCAACCTTTGTCAACCCTAATCTGACCATCTTCATTTCCTTCACGCCCCTGGCCATGTGCAGAGCACCTCATTGGTATAATTTTTTTTAAGATCATCACGTGACACTCCCTTCCTTGACCGCCAGGTGCTTTCTTTTTTTTTTTTTTTACTTCTTAGTGTGGAATTTTGATCATTTTCTTCTGTTGGTGGTCACTGGCTGCTGTGCCATAACTACTCAATAATGCCAGGTAAGTAAATTATTTATGTGGTTCATGGCAGAACATACTTGCGGGAAAGGTTGTAGTTTGTTGAAAGGGCAAGACGACCCTAGCTATACTGCCCGCAACTTTCCATAGGTGCATGTGTTTTACTTTTGTAAAACATTTTGTAAACTTTGCCGTCACTTTTTATCTAGTTGGCTTTTGTAGTGTGGTAATTGCACAATTTTGCTGATGATCTTTGGTATGCAGTGTGGTAGCAGTTGGCTTGCTCTGACCTGAAGGCTGTGGGTTTAATCCCGGCTATGGTAGTTGCATTTATACTGTGCAAAGTCGGAGGACGTTAAAAAACACCATGGGGTCTGGAACCTTTTGTTATATGGTGTCCCTCATTATCATACGGTGGATTTATGACCTAAAATTTCAGATATTATTATTAGTGATGTGTGGTATTATCTTTTCCTAAAGGAGAGGATGGTTTAACTATATATGCCTTTCAACACACACTAGTTACGTTGTTTACGTAAGTAGCGTGATACTTGGCGCTTTTGTCAACTAGGAACCACAAATGGCAAACGGAAGGTTGTGTTTAGCTTCACGTGCCCTGAACCCATGTTCGACACCTTCCTTATTCCACTTGAACAAACTCCCAGGATATTTCCCACCTAGCACGAACGTGGCCATTGGAAGCCCAACTATAAAACAGAAACGATCGGCAGGAATTTGTGTGCATTGCCAAGTAAGGAGACTTCACAGTTTAGCTTTCTGTTTTTTAAATGCAGCATTGGACAAGTGCAGCTACAAAAAAGCTGTGAAACGGCATTGCATGTGCTCTGACCTGTCTTTCTGAGTGCTTTCCAAACTTGCGTGAAAAGGTCTTTCTGCTCCGATGTGTCTTTCTGGATGCTCCCAGACTGCTCCCAAACTCATGCCCCTTGTTCCACCCCCGGTAGAGTCCTTAGTGCAGAATGAAAATATATATTCTTTCGGAGACAGATGAGCCCATAAAGCTTACTTGTGGGCTGAGGCTTCTCCCATCTTATATCTAGGTGAAGGCGCTTGCTTGACCAGAGAGCTTTGTGCAGGCCCGGCTGGAGCAGGACTTCGGTTTCCATGACGACGCAGCCATGGAGGCCCTGCAAGACGCCATGGAAGAGCTGCGACGGCAGGGGCTGGCGGTGCCCCCAGGCAAGGCGCCCCCCTCGGAGCTGCCCCAGCGGCCATTTGGCCTGGAGCTGCCCCCGTCCGCGTACCTCCCACACCGGGGAGCTGCCTCGCCTCGTATCCGTAACTCCAAAAGTCGCACGGTGAGCAGGGCACATTCTCTTTCCGTTAGTTTCTCAAATTTAGTATTTCTTGAAAACATTGGCAGCAAGATGTCGTAGTTTAGAGTTGCCCTCGTGTCCACCTTTTTGCTTCACGGCTTTGGCTTCATCGGCTGCTCTATCTCTCAAACCACGTGATGTCAACAACCAGCCGCAAATCAACATGGCGGCGAAGGCATCGACAATGGGTTGCGTCCGCACTCTCACAAACTACCCAAGCAGCACGTCAAAGCTCTTGGCCTTGACGAGGACGTGGTCATCGAGAGCCTGGTTTAGATTACGATCACCGATAACAGGGAAAGTAGAAGGTTCAGTAGCAGCGAGTCGGCTTGCCCGAACCTGTCTTGCTTTTGCACTGCCAGCTGAATCCGTCGCCACCGCTGTGTCCGCGCGTGTCATTTCGGCTGGCGTGTTTTCTCCAATAACATTAGTAAAGGTGTAAACAGTTTTTGTTTTTTGTGCCTTGTATGCATAATTATAACTCGGTATGAACTTCATTGATCAGGAATGGGGCAAAATGGAATGAATTCTCAAGCGGCGATAGCGGCGGTGGGGGTGGCATGTACACGAGGGGCAGAACGAATGGGAACATTTTCGGCGAGCGCGGACATCGTTTTTCGGCCGCGCTAGCATTTTCGCTTGAATTATCCCCTGTGAATTCTCCAGGACTCATTTTTTTTTTTCGTGCCGACTTCGCGGCGCATTATCCGGCTGCTTTTGCAAGGAAGCGAGTGAATTTTCAATGAGTTTGGCCGCTTTCGCTCGCTCTAATATCAACTCGCTCGCTCTGACAAAACCACAGCACTTAATAAGAGACGGGGAAGGCAGGAAAGTTCAAAAGAACATCACAGACTTTTTTCAGCAAGGTGTAGTTGCCAATGAATTTCTTTTCATCATTTTTATCAGCTTTAAGTTGTTTTTTGTTCATACGAATTCGAGCTGATACGAATACTTGACGCGCTTCCTTCGAATTCGTATTATCGAGATTCTACTGTATCTGGGTGTTCACTTGCAGTCTGATCTTGCATGGTATTATCACATTCGCCTGACGTTGGCATCAGCTAACCGCTCATTAGGTCTGTTCAAACGTAACCTCATGTATGCTCCAGATACTCTTCATAGGCTAGCATACATCACGTTATTACGCCCTAAAATCGAATATTCATCAGCTATATGGGATCCCATACAAATCCACAACACCCATGACATCGAGTCTTTACAAAACTGTGCAGGGTGTTATATTTTCCTATTATTCACCCTACACCAGTATTTCAGCACTAAAGTCTCGCGCCCAACTTGAAGACTTATCTCATCGCCCCAGAACTTCCAGTCTTTCGCTTCTCCATAAACTTTGTTATCACCTATGCCTTCACCGCATCTTTGAAACACCAGCAGCTATCTTTCCACGCATAGGCCATATCTTTAAGATAGAGCCGAGCCTGCATATAACGGCCCCACTTAAAATATACTTTCGCTTAAAACGTACAATATCCGCGTGACCGGGAAAATATACATTGTTTCAATGGCACAAAATCCCACTTACAACGAACGTCTCCGAGCGCCGCCGATCGGTTACAGCGAACGGAGTCAGTCCTCTGCCGACTTCCCGGGAAACCACTTTACCACCGATCAGGCATCAGTGAGGAGCCTATAGATTCTTACTGTTAAAGGCCGACCCTGCCTCTGCGCCCTTCTAGTTGCCGCTCTCTCAGACCGCTTTTTGTTACGCACCCCTCTGCCCTTTGTCCCCCCCGCTACTCTGAGCACCCCGCATTGCCAGATGAGGCGAGTGTCTTTACACTGCCACCGATCTTTCGAAGACTGGTCGGCCATCTCCCCTGTTTTTTATCGCTGGTACTGTTGTTGGTGTCGCCGGCCTGGAGTGACCAGACCATTTGCCGGCATCGTCGGCCACCAGCTGTATCCGACCGTCTGCGTCTTGTCTTATTGTATCGTTCTAGTGCACGCGTGTACGCTACCCCACCCATTCTGGTCATTCGCGATTCGTTTAGTGTTTAGGACCTGTTCTCACTCACTTCGCACTCTGCTCAGCATGCCCTCTGCACTCGTGCAGAAGTGTAAAAACGGCTGTTAATTTGTGCGAAACGAATCGCAAAATATCGAAGTCGGTGAGGCCACAAACCCGCTGGCGCGACGGAACGATTCTTTGACCACGGCCGATGATGCATTGCACACCGCTGCGCGTGTTGATCCAGGTGGCCGTGCTTCGGCCTTTGCGTGCACAGGCACTCTTTTCTACGCGCGAGTTTAGCGTTTCGCGGATCTTTTTAGCAAGCTACCCGACCTGCCTCCTTCTCGTGTGTTCAAGGTCGCCTTCCCATCGGATCCTCCCCTCTCTTCACCCTATCGCAACTCCTTGCCCTTTTCTTGCAAATCTGCTCTCCTTTCTTGATAACAACTCCTTCTCCCGTCTCCACCACTCTGTGACGCCAGCACGCTGGCTCAGATTCAGAAGTTTCGTTTTCTGACTATAAACGGGCTCGGAGCTGTACCACGTGTGTAGTCAGGATGTCGGACGGGAGGCCTTGCGCGCTTTTTTCTGCCGCTCAACAAAACGTCGAAAGTGTGACTGCTTGGCTTGCGCGTAATGCGTGCGTTAGGTGCCGCATTGTGGAGCGCTTGATCATAGCTGTTGACCACCTGGCAGCCAACTTCCCTCTTCGGGGGTCCTGGTATTCAGTTGTGGAGATGGTGAACATTTCCCGGGTGGCGGTGACGGTTATGCGCGTGAAACTTTTCGCGAGGCCGACTTCGTCGACGTCGGGCCCGATGTCAAGCCTGAAGCTTCCAAACAGGACCACTGCAGCGGCTATTTGTAGCAGCGCATCGTCGACTCCGACATGGGAAAGCAGGTGGGACATCTGTTGGGTTGGTTTGATTACGGCCGATAATGATGCCAACACCATGAAACCATGCACGGATTAAGGCATTGTGAATTAAGGCAAAGAGCACCCTGCCATTTGAAATAACTATAGATTGCCCCTATCGTTACTGCTCTTCGAAACATGTGCGTCACCGGCTTTTTTGGGTAAAAAAAAAATTTTGTTTTCACTTGCAACTTTTTTAAAAGCTGTGTTTCATTTGCTACGAACTTCGGGTGGGATACAGTAAACGGATGCCATATCAGGCCCAGGTTCGTTATAAGCGGGCTAGACTGTAAAATGCATAACCTGTTGCTCAGCACATTATGCTCATTCTTTCATATCCCGAATAGTTTCATGGAATAATCTGCCATCCCCCATTGCCACTGAACCCAATTTCTGAACGTTTTAGGAACTTGTACACAACAATTCTACTGATATATCCATCACGAATGCTTTTTTAGATACCGTCATGTGTTCTGTAGGCTTGTGTGAGTATTCGAACGAATAGTAGAGTATACGAAGTCGGGTCAATTCGAATTCAATTTATTGAAATTTTTGAAGTATTCGCAATGAACGAATAGCTGTACTATCAGCGTCTAATGAAACCCGAACAGCGGCAAGCTTTTGCGATAGGGTAGTGCGTGCCTGGAGGCGGAAATGTTGTAGGCCCGTGTACTCAGATTTGGGTGCACGTTAAAGAACCCCAGGTGGTCAAAATTTCCGGAGCCCTCCACTACGGCGTCTCTCATAATCAAATGGTGGTTTTGGGACGTTAAACCCCACAAATCAATCAATCAATCAGGGCAGCGCGTGCCGTCCAGTTATCACAATTGACAGGCGCGCGCATCCTGCTTGGCAGCTTTCCGGATATATAGGTGAGCGGAGCTGCTCAGGTGACTTCAAGTGCCAAGTGATACCTTTTGTCGAGGACTCGTGCAATTGTGCCGCGCAACGCGAGTTCTGTGTAAATGTGAAGTTGATTAGGGGTTGGTGAAAGTAGCAAGACCGTCTCTTTGTGTGCAACGGAGGGCATTGTGCTTTTCGTTGCGCAGCGATCGGCAGCTACAATGACGTCGTTTGGGAAGCCGCATATGCTTGTAAAAAATCCGATGACAACAACATTTTGCACATCTGGCAAGATGACGGCCCTGGCAGTGATTAGGGCGCTAAGTTTGTAAATAAAGGTTTGCTACGGTTCAGTTTTTCGATTTCTAAATTGCAAAAAAATACAAAAAAAAACGAGCCAACCTGTATGGAAATATTTTTTTTTCTCACTTACACTATAAGTAGGGGTCGACCTATATCCGTGCCCTACCTATTTTCGAATACTAGCTCAACTATTGCAGTCTTATGATGATGGTAAATTTTTTGTGCAATAACAGAGTAGAATAGCAAACAAGTGTACTGTTTTCTACATAAATATATGATTGAATAAAGAATTACTGGTGAAAAAAAATTGCATCTCTTTATTATTTTATTCATATTCGAAAGTTCTGACATTGGCACCAAGCCACAAAAGAGAACCACACAGCAAGTTCTTGGAAATGGTGCTACATCTGCTCCCTCCAAACTTGCTCAAAGAGGCCTTTCCGGCGGCTTCAAGCCTGCTACAAAAGTCACTTTTTCTTACTCCTAAATCTATGTTCCACCCCTGGATGCTAGAGTCGCACTTTAATGAGGTTTCAATGTATGCAGCTGACCAATGGCAGCCGTGCATCAACGCCTTCTGGCCGAGCCACACCGGCAGCTGCGGAGAACGACGACGTGGTGTCGGAAGGGTGTCCCGCTACCCCAATCGGAGGCACCAGCAGCCTACTGCGCAAAGGGGCATCCCCACTGGGCCGACGGTGAGTAGAAGGCCTGTTTTCTTTTTTTAGTTGCGAAGCTGTTTAAGTTGGCTGTGAAGTATCGACCTTGGCAGTATCATCATTATGAACGGGCATGTGTCAAAGAATTTGGGCAAAGCTCGCTTCTATGGCTGTGACAACTCCGAGACAGAAAGGAAGCATAAAGTTGCATGAATGAGACATAAGAGACTCAATTAGACAGATGACTTGCAACAAAAGGTCTCTCCGCTGCATGTCTGTATTTCGTGCGTCTAGTTGTCTCTCCTTGTCTCTCAGTTGTGGGACTTTATGCATTCTCATGGCATACCAACAGGCCCGATATGCAAACTTAGTGAGTACAGAGAGAGACTTTGTTTTGTGCATAAAAGATGATGATGATGATGATGCTCCTTGGAATATTGGCACTTACCCACTTAAGGGGATCGGCCAAGAGTCGGGTAGATCATACATACTGGTTTTATGATTAATATTTAGTATGAGTTAAAATTACCTAGAGATGAACTCTTTAATCTAATGGTAATCATGAATGATTGTAATTTCAAGTTGTATTATTTTGTGTAACCTCCCAATGACCGAAGATCTTTAACTAGGAAGACCTATGAAAGAATTATTACCAGTTGATACACCTACCAAATCTATTCGAGTCACATATAAACTTTTTGACAGCTCTGAAAATATTCCTGTCTGAGTGTCCCAGCGCAGGGGTCCCGAATGATGACAGAACGGCCGACTTAACCGGTAGACCACATTGCCGCTGTCACGAGTCCCGTTAATTCGGGAGGCGATTGCCGGGCTAATTCCAAGGGCCGAAATATCGGCCCCCCGAACCGCACCACGAAAGCGTGGACAATTTAGAAGTGGTCCTATTTGGCGCGCCAGCGGACGCCGGCTGTGGCCCAATGAACAAGTCAGAGCCGAGAGTTGATAAACAAAACAAATTCATATTCCCAATTATGGCAAATCAAAACGATACACAAGTATGCACACTCGACAATAGTTGAATACAATATGTCACCAATCAAACAACGTACTGCACGGTACAATCAGCCACACTCGAAACAACGGACACAGACCACACTACGCACTACAATGCAGTCGCATGCATCGAACAACCGAGACACTTAAAGACTAGAGAGTTAGAAAACTTCTTCAGTCCAAAGTTCTTGGAACAAAAGTCTGGATGATACTCTTCCGAGAATCACTCACTCAAAGTCCAGTGCTGTTGTCGTTCCGCTGCCCCCGAAGTTTCTCTTCCAGGAAACCTCGCGTCTTCAATTGACCGCTCTCCAGGCTCCAAACTTCTTCGCCGGAAACACGACGGCTTCACACACGCAGCTGTTGTCACGCGTCTTTGCTCGATAGCGGTAGACACACACTCTTGCCTGTAGCTCAAGTCTTCACCCCTCAGGTGGAAATCCCTTTCTTCTCCTCCTTTGTCACCGAAGACAAAAGGCTTCGCCCACAAGGCGGAACACCCTACGCACTCTGGCGCATACCTTCTTCTTCTCCCGCTTTGTCACTAAGGACAAAACCTTCACCGACAGACGCGGCGGGATACCCTACGCACTCTGGCGCTAACTTCCTTCTTCTCCTGATCTCCCATCTCTTCTGCTCGGTAAACTACCTTCCGCGCGAGATTCCAGAAAATTCTTATCATTTCGTCGGCGCAATGCGCAGCGAAAGCTGGGGGAAAGGGCGAGACGGTACAAGGGCCATCCGCAACGGATGATGCAACCCTGCATCACCACGCCCTTTTCCATCGAGAACGTTCTAGGGCTTGCTCGGCCGCGGATGCGAGCAGGTTCGTCGGCGAACCTACGCTTCCGAGGGGAGAGGGACGCGCGCCCGGGGAGTCTTTGGATGCTTGTTTCTTTTTTTATCGTTGACCTCGAGGCATCCTTTCCGCGTTTGGTCGCGAAAATTTGGCGGCGCGCCCTTTTTGAGCGGTCGTTTTGTGACAGCCGCAATATAATTTTAATATGGTTGATTGGGCGAGTTGGTGATACATGATTGTTTAAAATGAGCTCGCACTAAGTTGACGCAAACAGGATAGGTAGGGACAAGCGCTTGTTCCTGTCTTTCCTGTTTGTGTCTACATAGTGCGCTCTCATTTCAAAGAATGAATTCGATACTTTTGTTTCCTGTGTAAGGAAAAACGTCGGCAGCTCAACAAGAAGTATTCAGTAGTTTCGAGTTCGTTGCAATAGGAGCAAGAAGTGGAGATCGCCAAACCCACTCTGTGCATGTAAAATATAAGATTTGGAATTCTACTACACCTTCTGGTTATCACAACTTCAGCCCATCTTGCTACACACCATTTCCTACTCCAAGGAACTGTAGGTGCTGAAAGTCCAGTGATGAATCGAAACTTGGAGTAAGCACAGATAATGCATACTTTCTGAACCGTGCCGCAGAAACAAACGCCGTGACTGAAAGGAGAGACAGAACTGGACCTGCCAGAGAAGCTTTCTCCAGAGAGAGCGCAACTTCATTCAGTACAATTCCTTTCTGTCCCGGCACCCAAATAATCGCAGGTTTCGCAGATGACGAGGAACAAGTGCAGTAGACCGTCATTAAACGGAACCTGAAGGGTCCAGTAAAATGCATTTCATTTAACAGGAGTTCCGTTTACTGAGGAATGAACCGGGGCACACGATGCAAGAACAAAACCAATTTTGTCAGAAGCATTTGTTCCATTTAAGCAGCAGTTCGTTAAACGAATTTTCATTACTGAGAGTCTACTGTAATCTCAACTATCTTAGAATATTTTGTTTATTTATTTATTTATATTGTTAGCCAAAGGCCGATACAGGGTAGAGTACTGAAATACTCTTCATACATTGTTCAAAGACGCAAGCACTACACAGTGAAATCAAGACAGACAATGCATCTTACAGCTTTAAACAAAACTACACCATACAGACCATACAACTCGTAATGCAAACGAAAAACAACTCTTACTAAAAGTACAACGCACAAAAGTATTCAAGTTTTACACAGTAGTGACCAACATTGAGCAGACAGCAACAGAATCGCAGACACCACACTCAACATGCACTGTTCCACATGCTTGAAAAATTATAATCATCAAAATCAGGAACTCTTTTTATCATTATCTTCAGTTATTTGAATTTATGTCAAGGCATACAAGCTGCCTTTCACTGGAAAAAAAGGAAGGTAATAACGCTTATGTACGGTTACCTGGAAAAATAATAGGCCAGTACAATGAGTGGGAACTGGCAAGTGCCCCAGTTGTTACATTGCTGTGTTTGAAAAGCGCACTCTTTCGCAAACGGTGCCTGTCCAGCGAGCGAAGTTATCTTTGTGTGCCCGGCAACTAAACGCAATCGTTCCAGTCGAAGGCGCGCCATTCTCACTGCCGAAGGATAAGCGCGGGTGCACAAGCATCCAACCCTTCCTTCGCAGGGCGAAATACGAGTGGGAGATAAGTGCGAATTGGCGCATTGTGACGAGCTGGGTGCCGAGCGCGAGTGGCTTTCTTTTATTGAGTTTTCAATATATAGATACATATACATCTATGGTGAATGACTGCGGGGGCGGCAAAAAATCAACCAAGACTGTCAATATACATAATTGCTATCGCGATAAAAAAAAGAAAGCAAAGCTGAACGTCGTCGAGGGCCACACGATGCGCACGCAGTGAAACTATGCACGCACGCACGGCTTCGAAAACGAAAAGCGAACGACACGAACACAGACACAGATACTGCGAAAAACTATTCGGTAAAGTGCCCTCCATATGCAGCGCAGCCCCACATATGTGACGCTAGCTAAAAGGGTGGCACTACCAACACGCAAAAGTAGTTATTTTTTTAGAGTACTGCGCGAGTGTGCGTCCGCGGACGCACACTCGCACATGCGTCCGCGGCGGCGAGAACGGCAGCAACGCAGGCTCGCGAAGTGCAGGCCCACCTGCGGGCCTCACCCGGACCAGGCTCGCCGCTGCTGCTTCGCGCTTCGTCGGCAGCGGATCGGTCGCGAAAGATGCACACTTGTACCAAAATGCCAAAATGCTTAGCGAAATTCCTAGGTTGTTCGGGGGGCAAATTCGTTATATCCAAAGTAGTCTCCCGCCGTTACTTAGTTACATAGAGGTCGCTAATACATGTGCTTTTATGGTGTGATGGGGGGCGGGAATAGAAAAAGTTCGTTATATCGAGGAACTCGTTGTATCGATGAATTCGTTATATGGAGGTTTGTTGTAAGCAGATTTAACTGCATAGCCAAAGAAGTTATAGTTGAAGAGATTTTACATAGGGCTAATGTAACAGCAAAGAACTCGGCCAAAAATATTTGGGTGTGATCAGGAAGCCTAACAGAAAATGACCAGTCTAGTTTTATAGAAAGAATTTCCACCCCGGCTTTTTTTTCACACTGTGAAACATCAGTTGCTATCACAACTGTAGAAGCAATTTGATTTAAGCAATCCTGAAAATTTTCATTTAGAAGATTACCGTATAAACCGGACTATAGGTCGAATGGGAATATAATTCGACCCCCCAGGTTCAGATTATCGAAAAGAAAGGAAAACAACCCAAATTGCCGAACGACATTCATTTGCGAATTGGGCGCACCGTACCCCCATGGTCGGAGCTCCGCTCAACCATCATCACAACTGTTCCTATTTGTCAGATGAAGCACCACTGTCTTCCAAAGACGAGAGTTTGTCGCCGGCCGCCTCCCACAGTGCGTTGTCTTCCGTGCCATACAGCGAGTTGCTGATGGAACATTTCTTAAAAGAATTTACCACCATGGAATCCAGCAAGGAACACCAGGCGGAAAGCACCCAGCTACAAACAGTCCCAAGCGGAGGCCTCTGTAGGCGGCCCGTCGGCGTCTTTGGGTTGTCGCTGGACATCCACTTTTCGTACTTCAGCCGCACTCGATCCTTGAACGGCTTGTTTAGCACAACGTCGATCGGTTGGAGGGTGGACATCATACCACCTGGTATCACGGCGAGGTACGCTTTTTCATCGCCC